AACATGAGAAAACAAAGAGAAATACAGGGGGGAAATAAGGGCAGGGCAAAAAAAAGCAAATAGCCCAAACACCCGTAAAGTCCGCAAAGTTGTCAAATCCCGAAATGTGCAGAGAAAGAAAACGCCCGATTTTGTCATGGGTCATTAAAGTGTACAAGGTCGTCCCGTATCGTTGCAAAGAAGTCTCGCCGTGAAGATAAGCCGCGTATGTATCGCCGTGCTCGTTTTGGTACCAGAAGCCATTCAAGGGTCCACCAGAAACTCACTGGACAAGCAGTCGATTGGGTCCGTCAGGTCATCTTCCATGTGAGGAAGACCAGAAAAGGTCTTCTCGGGGTAATAGGACGAGACCGAGGCGAAGTCGGTTGTATCCACGAACTGATAAGTCGGGAAACCAGAGATACCTGAGTGAGCCAGATGACCGAATTCCTCTCGGAGGTCGTCTGAGGGATCTTGAGTCATGAAGATATCGATCTCCGAGCCGACGGATGATTCAGCCAGAGTTGGTGCCGAGCGAGGGGAGGACATTTCCCGAGGTGAGAGAGCAGATTCACTGTATAGAGATTCCTGCGAGTAGGTAGATTCCTGCGAATATGTCTGGGAACCGAAATCCGATCCGTACTGCGCCATTGCCTGCTCGTATCTAGCGTGAGCGAGTTGAGGTGGTGACAAGGGCAACATGTCATCCTCGAGCTGGGCATCGAGGGAAGTGTAGGTCTGACATGGCGAGGAAATCGTGTGGTATCTGTCTCCGGGGGAGGTGGGCGGCGTGAAAGACGAGACGGCAGTGGACGGGGCATAGTTGGGCGAGTTGAAGACGGGAGCATCTTGCAGAGTGACGTTGGTATTTGCTGAAGCGGTTGAGGATTTTTCAGCAACGCGTTGACGAGTACGAGTTGATTTGGCCTGGCGAGTGTCGATATCCGGACGGCTGGTCTTCTTCTTGGGGGGACGGCCACGCTTGGTAGTCTTTGGAACCACGCCGGTGAAGCCTCCAACGCACATATCGCGCTGGCGGTGACGGGTCAGGGCGTCTTGTCTGGCAAAGCTGGCACCACAGGCGCAGGCGAAGGGCTTGTTGCCACTGTGTGTCTTGAGATGGCGCTTGAGATCATGTCCGCGCACAAAGTGCTTTTCGCAAATGTCGCATTTGAATTGACGGTCCCCGAGATGTGTTTGGACGTGGGACTTGATGTTTTCTTTGCGACCAAAGCGGCAAAGGCAGCCTGTAAATAGACAGACCCACTTTCCATCTTTGGGATCGGGGCCGGAGATGAACTTGGCGATTTCGTCGGTCGAAACACCGGTTTGCTGGACTGAGGCCTTGACTCGAGCATCAAGGTCATCATCGTGAGTAGCTGGCTCGGTGGAAGACGAGACAGTAGACGGGGCTCGCTTCTTGGACCTGCCAGTGGACGATGTGAATGAGACATTGGAATTTTGAGGTGTCATGCCATATGAACTCGGGGATGGCATATCGGCAACTTCGGTGAACGACGAGCTAATCGGGGAATTGACGGGGGAGGGCATTTGCTGCTTAATCTGCACAGAATCGACATAGGGGACTCCTTGCAACGACTGGGCTCTCTGCATCTCAGCAGTGGCAGGGGTATGGGGAAATGAGAAACTTTGGGACTTGGAGGATGTTGGGTCATTGCTGTACATGGAATAATCAATAGATCTTTTCAATGGGGTAGAATCGGGGGTCATGGGGGAGTTGTCTGCCATATAATTAGCCTCGGTCGAATTAGATTGAAGCGACAGTTTCATACAAGCAGTAGACATTTGCGAAAGGATTTTCGCAGATGGAGCCTTTGGTTGAACAGAGACTGGGTGCATTGGACCGGCATAGGCCGTCACCTGCTCGTTTTGGACGATTGGCATGTTGCGCTGAGGAAACAATTCCCAATCGGCATTGCCAATAAATTGTTGTTGTTGCTGGTTCGAGAATTGTTCTTGCTGCATACGGTGCAGCGCAAGCTTCAATGGTGTATTTTCGGAGCATTCACTGGCTGATCGTGACATAGCCGGGGCACCGACAGAAGAAGGCGCAGGGCTACCAGTGGTGGTGTGAATCGCTTGCAATTGTTCTTGGTTGAAAGCCTGGCAGTCAGACCCGAGCGACTGGTGTGGTTGATATTGATACGGTTGCATGTGCATGGATGGAATGAACGATCGCTCGGGCTGCTGGGCATAGGATTGATACTGTACATCCCTTTGTTGATATGAGAAACCTGATTTTTCGTTAAAATAATCTCGCAACTGCGAGACCGTCTTCGGCATGTGTCGGTCCATAGTGGCTTGTTGACTGAAAGAGCTGTAGTCTACAGTCTGGCCTCGACGATGTGACCGACGGGGTTGGATATTGGTCATGACTGGCGCGAGCTCGAATGGAGCCACTGGTGTGGAGATTTGACGGCGGTGACGACCGTTTCCGAGCGCGTTGGAGTTCATGGCTATATTGCCGACAGTTGGTCCTGGATGAGGTGTCAGTATGTGAATGTGAAAGCAGTAGGAGAGGAAAGAGTTAGAGCCTCAAGCTATTCAGATCAAGTAAGTTAAAGCAGAATCCAATTCTGAAGCAGAAACTTGAATTGTATGAAGGTTTCCAAGGTTTGGTTCTGGAACCCAGATCTATGTAAGACCCGCGGTACTGATCAACAAATCGGGGGTTGGCATAGCAACGGGTTCAGCCCGGGCGTCTGGGAAACCAAGGCTCTGATGAAAGTGGGCCTTAGACCTCGATTTTACCCTTTTGATCCAGGGCCTTACTTAGATTTTATCCTTATTCTGCAAGGAACTTCTAATCCCTGTGAGAAAAGTCATATAATCTATATAGAACCTACAAAATTTACAACTCCTCGTCTCGTTTCCAAGGAGATTCAATATAAACAAGTCGATCTCATAAACATTGGCTCCAAATATGTATACCGATAGGCCGATAGGCCGATCGCCCCATGGCGTCACTGATATTCGACCTGTCCAACATGGGATATCGTCTACCTTAGGCATCTATGCCCCTTCGAAGTCACGTATGGGACTAGCAAGGCCTTATTCCCTTCCTTTACGAGCTATAAGCAAGAGAAAGAAGAAACTGGCGTCACCCGGAAACCGGGGCTAAGTCAGTCAAGATATACATGGTGTATGTAACTACCACAATGGCTCGTCGCCCATGGCACCTATTTTCTATGAGAGTCACGTACATCTAATTAGTACTATACGTGTAGGGGCGGTCGGATCTCAGGTTATACATAGGAAAGGTTCTTGCACAAAGTATGCTTTTGTTTTCGCATTTTTCTGCACCTTTATATAGAACTAAGCGGGGGACAAAATATATATTTAAAAAGATATCTAAAAGAATATCTGACACCACTGAGAAGACTACTGAAAACATCACGAGGCACAAGCGGCCGTCTACTCTTGTTCTACTATAATACATGTAGGATTTATTTATATCCGTACATGTATATTTCTAGTTAACTTGCAACAGTAAAAGGAAAACAGATTCAAAAAAAAGTTTGGAAACTGGAACGACTTGGCGCCACCCGGAATCGAACCGGGGCTAAGTCAGAATCGAAGTGTACAGGTACGTTACCACAATGACTCGTCATACCACTAGACCATGGCACCTTATTTGATGGAATCGGCATCATGTTTTCAATTCATCAAGCTCAATCTCGGCTATGCCTTTTCCCATACGAGATATTTATAGTACTTGTTAATGTTATCTAGACTAGTGCGGTGGGCTCTATGACCTGTGTAGGTACAACATCGTGCGAAGCGCTTACGCTATAGCCCTCTACACCATCTAACTAGGTAGGGCTCCATATAAGTCGTCTTTAACTTCTCATTACTAGTATCCTCTTATAATTTTATAGAAGGATTACGTCACACTATTTACTTTTCTTATATTATGGTGGAATATCCGACCGCTCCTATACGTATTATATCTACAACCTTGATAAATCTATAATCCGAATCTTCATCCATCCAATAGGTGCCATGGTCTAGTGGTATGACGAAGCATTGTGGTAATGTACACATGTGTACACTGATCCTGCTTTAGCCCCGGTTCGATTCCGGGTGGCGCCATTTCTTTTTATTTTTTAGTAGTTGTTTGGATTAGTTTATTTTTTTTATGTTTTATATATACATACAGTAAAACCAAGTTATAACCAATTGAGACAAAATATTCGTTGAGCCGAGGTTTTCGCAAAGTCCAGGTCCCATACATTAACGGACCAAGTCTCGACATATCGAGTTTTGTATGGGGGAATCGTGAAATACCGAACTTCGCAGTAAGCAGAGAAATTCGTTATAACTGCGTTTTACTGTATTTTACATAGAATATCGGGCATAATTCTCTATGGCGGGTTCTTGTTTTTTTTTTTTCAAAAAAAAGCTTACTTTTATGACACTCTCCTGCTAAGCTTTCGGGTAACCCATGTAGCTATTATGTAGAGTCTCCGTGGGACCTTTGTTGCCTGGACTGGAGCCCTGGAGCCGGGTGAGAGTGTAAATCAGAAACCGACATGACAACCTTTCATGTTAAGGTCGCTGGCTGATCAGATAAATACCCCAGTGGACCCATTGGGATATAGGGAAAGTTCATATGCACAAGTATCGTTGAGATATCTAGTAATTTGCATCTACCACGTGTTTCTCCAAAGACTGCACAGCTCGCTTGTAATACACTGTAGTTGAGAAGTTTGCAAGGTCGTAAGGCAATGCAACAAAAGGCATGTATTTTCTATTAATGGGGGAGCTTAGATAATGGAGTCTCAATAGGTAGGAGCCCCATGACCTGTCATCACAGTTGAGACAGACCATAGATTCCTTGTTTGTCAGGCTCTTACTAGGTTATCTGGTTAGCTTCTGTTTGTTTATAGAGGATCAATGCCTCTTCTCCTATCTTCACCCTTCAACATATCCTTCTTCTCATCACACGTCTCTGAATTGGTCTGAACTACGCTCCGCCACGGATACGCAAGAGTCCCGCCATGTCCAATCCAAAGAAGGTCATCGAGGCCTTCAAATCTAGACTCCCAGCGTTCTACCATCAATGTAGCCCCCTGGTTGACCCTTTGATATCCTTTCTGGTCAACAGTGTCTACATTGATCTCCAAGATAACGACCTTCCTCGGTGGAGTTCTCTTGAGACACAGCAACAGAGGGAACTCCGCCAAAAGATTGTCGGGTATCTGATGACCGGGCTGCGTCAGGAATACCAATGCACCTTCTTCGATGACAACCTTGATGAAGACATATTTACTGTCGTTCTGTATTGGTACTTGAAAGACCCTTCGGCCGAGCTTGTACAACAAACCATGGGAAAGAGAGAAGAGGGTAGGAGAAACATAAGCTCCACATCATTCTTCCAGCAATGCGAGCAGCGCGGAGCTTGGCTTACTGCAAACCAATTCCTCCTATCGCCATTCCGAAAGAACCTTTTTTCGACCCTGATTCATTCTATGGGGAGCGAGATGTATGTACTCGCTGGCGAAACCATATGACCATATACTAAATATGAATGTGCTTAGTCTGAAACAGGGGCCCTTGTGGAGGGGAGATTTGAATTGTCCTCTGAAGACGAGGAAGTAAAAAAGAGCAATTCGAAACAGGGAAGGGGCCACCCAGGCGCTTATAAGGAGATTTTCGTAGCTAGAACGACCACCCCATTCCCTATTGATCATGTCCCGATATCTCTTAAATCACCCACCGACGACGAATCACCCACCGACGACGAAGATGTCGACGACGGAGATGCCGATGGAAAAAAGAGCTATGAGAGTGAACTAGCTGCCCAAAAAGAGCTAAATAAAAAATACAAAAAATATCTAGCTCGGAGTGACAGGTACGCCCGGCTAAACCAACAGGTGGAAGAGACCGTTACCCTAATGGATGAGCCCATGAAGAGACTAGGTGGGTTTGACTCTGGTCGTATTCTTACCCATATGTTACAGAAAACAGACGAAAAACACCACGCTCGATATGGAGGAATCCTAAGCCGACGATATCCTAAAAACCGCTCTGACCTCTAGAACCAAGTCTCTCTTAGATGTTATTGGGTCTGGATCAATTGGACTTGATGAGTACTTTAACCATATACTCGTTTTGCTAACTTTAGACTAATATTTATTAGGTTGATAAATCTCGGTGGAAACCCTGAGAATGACGAACGGGCAGAAATCTACTTACATATCCTTTGGATAAAGGAGAAAAAGTTTTCGCTGTACGTCGGCTAGTCACTGAACCTGCGTGAGCGAATTGGAAGACATTGCGACCCAGAATATCGGAGGAATCACCCGTCACTTCATTACAGCCTCTGGGACTCTGGGACCATTTCTGGCGATATTTTTGTCACCCTATCAAATTTTAGGGCCTCTCAACACCCTGCGACAGATGATTATGCACTTTGCTAAATCTCCAGGAGATGTTCATGGCTTGTGCATTACAGACACTCCGTGGGGCTGATCTGATTTTGGTTCTACCTGGTGATATCCCAGTGCCATGGGCTAGCCTACATCTGAACGTGGCACTACCTATCTTCCAAAGGCTTTACAGATAATGACGGCACGCCTGTGACACGCCAAATATTTGCCGGTGCTCTTCGAATCCCGAATGGCGATATTCGTCAGTGGGCAAAGGCCTGCAGAGACTCATTTAACGATCTCCGAAACTCCCCTGATCCGCAGCTTCGTGCATACTAGCTACGTATGTCGGAGGAGGCAAGAATCCTAGCCGCTGCATCGGAAAAGCCAAGAAATGAGATCATTATGTACGATACCGAAAGCAGAAAACTGGAAAGATTCCAAAAGTTGAGAGACACGGGGGTTTGGGTAAATTTAAGAACGAGTTGGGAGAACTCGAACTCCCTTCGCTTTTCCTGGGGGTTACACGAATTCCATTTCCCACGACGCTTACAATTCCCCTTCGAGGTTAGCCCTGGAAATAAATTTCTCTTCAGCCCGCTTCTTTTTGACTCCCCACATGAGCTCCCCTACGCTAGGAGTGCTCTTCCAACCGACCCTGCGAGTAGACTACTAATCGCTGTGATGGTCCAGCATGAAGGCGAAGACCATTGGCGCTGGCTCTCAAACCCCACACAATAAGCGGTGGAATACATGAACCATTTTGTGGATTGCCTAGAGGGGCTGAGCAGAGCTCAGTCAAAGCGACTCCTCCGCCGAAGAATACCCGTCACTTGGGCGCATGGCTAAGGAGAAAGCTGCAAGAGGGGATGATGTTTCTCCGCAGATGGATTTGGATTCGAAAGATGATCCTAGTGCTGATATGGAGACGGGTCAACTGGCTTTGGAGGACCTAGAGGAAGAGGCTTTCTATGAAGAGATCGAGTCAAACCTCTGTCTTCAGGAACTGCAGTGTTGAATTCTAATGTTGTCTTTCATAGTCTTGATATTGCCTTCCTATGGTTTCTTTAAATTGATGTACCTGCCACAATGACTCGTCATACCACTAGGTTATAACACATATTAGAGGTATGTGGTGTATATTTCTGCTACAAGCTATATTAACTTGAATCTTTGTCTATTTGATAAAATAATAACGATGTAGTCGAGATGTATACAAAAAAATACTTTTAAGATATATATTAGATCCCATAGAAAGGGTACATATTCAACCCTATAAGGAAAACCCCCATAAAAGATAATTATCTCGACATTATCAAAGTATAACGTGCTCGGCCGTTTGGATTTGGGGCGGAGGCAAAGGGCCGAGTACACAAAAGGGAAAGAAACATATTCAAAAACCAAAAAAGAATGGCGCCACCCGGAATCGAACCGGGGCTAAAGCAGGATCAGTGTACACATGTGTACATTACCACAATGCTTCGTCATACCACTAGACCATGGCACCTATTTAATGTGAAGAATTCGGCACCTATAGACTTATGTACCCTAGATATATGAGCGGTCGGAGTGTAATAACGAACTCCCCTACGGAGTACATACGATATATATCAAAGTTCGATATATCGAGCCTAAGTTAGGATTAAAATATCTCGCTGATCGATCCCCACTTCTTAAAAGCTCGGTCTAATTCGTATATGAGTATAAGAAACTCTAATGGATATGTATAGAGGCTATAAGTATATAAGTTTTGTTGAGAATCATGGATTCTCCAGTATGCTGGGGGGTCAATGACACCCCTAGCATCCAGCAAGTGCAACTACTTATAACCCCGTTTTCTATGCCATAGAAAACTCAGTCGATCGCACACTAGTTGTCATAGGATCCTATTAGGATCTACCATATATATAATAAGAAGCGAGAAACGAGACTATAAAAGCCTAGATGTTCTATATTCTAGATTTCGAGACTCTTTACATTCTAATAGTACACATACTTTTGTTGGTTAATTCTTTTATTATACATTAGTTACATGCACTATTCATTCGCCTTTAACAATGTAAGAAGAAAGAAACCAAACAAAGAGACCACGAGGTAGTTAAGTTTATATAAAAATAAGATTCGAAGATAATAAAAAAGAATGGCGCCACCCGGAATCGAACCGGGGCTAAAGCAGGATCAGTGTACACATGTGTACATTACCACAATGCTTCGTCATACCACTAGACCATGGCACCTATTGGATGAAAGAAGGAACTTATTTGGCTCTATTTGGTCAACAATTGTCAGTGGAAAATGCTGGCTAATAGGCGCCTTATCTAAAGTAGTTGGGTGTGTGACTAGTTAACTAGTTAGTAAGTAAGTTAGTTAACTACAGTAAACCCTAGGTTAGTTGACTAGTTAACTATAACAAACTAATTGAGACACGGCAAAGTATTCGTTCAACCGAGGATTTCGCAAAATCCAGGTCCCATACATTAAATATATATCATGTTTATAACCAAGTCTATGCACTAGAAAATGTTCCAATACCACCATGTTTCTATGTCAATAGCATCCGCACCTATAGCAGCCCACTATAGTTACACAAAGGATTTATAATTGACTGTTTTTCACACCGAGAGGAAGGGCTAGAGCTGCCACTACTCTCAGAGAGCGACCTTCTTGAAGGTGGCCCGAGCTCGTAAGAAGTGAGGACTAGTGAGATTGTTTAATTGGGCAAAGCTGCTGATCTATCCTTGATATTTGGAACCTTGGAACGAATTTCGTGTTGGGGAATGGTGAATTAACGAACTTCGTGTTAGGGGGTAAATTCGTTATTACTATGGTGGATTAAGTGAAGCACCGGTATCCAATGAAAACCTGGTATTCACTATATCCAGGTTTGTTGTAACGTGGTCTTACCGTGGTGTTTTTCTTCGTATGAAGTTGTACTCCGCGATTCCTACATATGTAAACTTAGGATAAGTGTTAACTCTAACCCTAATTTTTATATGCTAAGAATCTAACAGAATCAAGAATCTATTACTACATGTACCTTGTTAGATAGAGGTGACAAAAAAGAAAGGCAAGTGAACTAACCTTAGAAGATAGTTAGATAGTAAATCACTTGCCAGAGAGAAAAAATAAAAAGAAATGGCGCCACCCGGAATCGAACCGGGGCTAAAGCAGGATCAGTATACACATGTGTACATTACCACAATGCTTCGTCATACCACTAGACCATGGCACCTTATTGGATGGAATGAGGACCAGATTTTGGATTTATTAAGCCAAATCTTGTCTATGTCTCGATCTTTCCCCTCCAACCTTGGAAGGGTCCAAAACTTAGGCCAAGACTTTTCCTTTAAGCTAGACTACTTTCGGCATATGACCCACCACGTGATCACACAACCATTTTAATCACCAACCGGCTTCCGCGCACAACGATCTTCTTTAATCTTGTAAGGTTGAGGAAGACACGACTGTCTAGGTGAGTTTTTTGTCCTATGCAAGCAGAGAAGAATGTGATGAGCATGCGCAACCAGTCTGCAGTCCATTCTTTCTCTGACTGCCATATTTTCATTGTCGCGACCATCTCACTAACTTTTCCTTCTCAGGCCTTCATCAAGATGCAGATCTTCGTCAAGACCCTTACGGGTAAGACTATCACCCTTGAGGTGGAGTCCTCCGATACCATTGACAATGTCAAGTCCAAGATCCAGGGTAAGCAAAACCGAAATTTCCCGAGCAACGATCGCACATGAGGCTCTCAAAAAAATCCGACAGAGACTAACGTTTCATCAGACAAGGAGGGTATTCCCCCTGACCAGCAGCGCCTGATCTTCGCTGGTAAGCAGCTCGAGGATGGCCGCACTCTTTCGGATTACAACATCCAGAAGGAGTCGACTCTTCACCTCGTCCTCCGCCTGCGTGGTGGTGGTAAGAAGCGCAAGAAGAAGGTCTACACCACCCCCAAGAAGATCAAGCACAAGCACAAGAAGACCAAGCTCGCTATCCTCAAGTACTACAAGGTTGACGGTGATGGCAAGATCGAGCGTCTTCGCCGCGAGTGCCCCGCTCCCGAGGTATGTGATCTCCCGTTGTCTTTTGACAATACCCTTGGATTCCTATCAACAGAAACTAACTCTTTCCTTTAGTGTGGTGCCGGTGTCTTCATGGCCGCTATGCACAACCGCCAGTACTGCGGTAAGTGCCACCTCACCTACGTCTTCGACGAGGCCAAATAAATGGTCTAAGTCGGACCGTGGTGTGCTGTCGCCGAGCTTGAGCATGGTTCTGCTACGCTTGGGCAAGTGATGGAGTGTCACGGTTGACGCTGGTTGATGATGGTTGCTTGGAATACCCATGTGCTACAGTCAATTACAAAAAAAACTAGGCATCCGCCGAAAATTCGATCTCCACCGTAATGATAGACTTGTATGTATTCGTAGACTTCGATATTCACATCTCATGTAGTCAACTGTACTGCAAATGGCAATGCATAATGCCGTGCAACCTCTCACCTACTGCTCGGGGAAGCCGGCTTTGAGATTCTCATACTTGCTCTCAGGGTAGTCAAGGGCATTAGACGACTGATCCAAAGCGCCTTCACCACCCACCCCATCGACAAAGATACCGATCAAGCTTCCCTCCGCCGGATCAGCCTCCTTCCCACCCTTATCACCGCTACTCTCCCACCACATACCACCACCGAGCCCGCGGTCGCGAATATAGTTCGCCTTGAGCTGCGCCACATGGGGTGTGTCGTAAGAAACCATCGTGCGCGAACCGCCATCATAGCAGTACGAGGCACCAGATTCCTCGTCGAACTTTTCCTCAGCCCCGGGTCTGGGCAGCGCCTTGTAATCCCACACTCCGTTCTCCCAACTGCCCTGTCCGACCCCGTTGAAGGGGGCGCCGGGTCCATCGGTGTTCTCAAATGCGCGTCCGTACAGTGGCATGCCCATGACGATCTTTGAGGGTGGGATGCCGCCGTTGTTGATGTAGTAGTTTACAGCAGCGTCGATCGAGAACGGTGTGGATGCAGGGTTGGAATTTGAAGGGGCGATGTTCGCTTGGTGGCCAGCGTTGGTGTCCCAGCTTCCGGCGAAGTCGTATGCCATGAGGTTGTAGAAGTCTAGCACTGGGGTCATCTCTTGGAACTTAAGCTTCTCGTAGTTGCTCGCGCCTGTGACAGTCAGTTTTGATGGTTCACGGTACTGTTCCATTGCTGGAGATATGGTATGGACATACCGGCAGGGCAGGCGATTGTCAAGTAGAAACGACGGTCAGAACCAGCCTCTCTGTCAAGAACCTATTTCCGGTCAGTTTGGTCCAATTCAAGTTCTAGGAGAACAACATACCTCTCGGCATTTCTGGAGCAAGAGAACTAGGTTCTGAGCCTCGGTTTCATCTGGATATATAGTGAGCCTCGTACTTCGAATATATTCTGACAAACTCACCTTTGGGATATTCCCAATCGATATCAAGACCTATGAAAAATTCAAAGTCAGCCCCGTAAGCAGTACCTAGCCGATCAAACATACCATCGAATCCTAGATCTAGAACCAGACGTGTGGCCGATTCAGCAAACTTAGTCCGACCCTCATCGGTGCTTGCAGGCTGTGCGAAATTCGCCGAGTACGTCCAGCCACCGATAGAAAGCAAAACCTTCAGCTTGCGGTTCTGCTTCTTGAGCAGGAAGAGCTGCTTAGCACATCCGTACACATTGTCGCCGACGTCATTCCACGAGTCTGTCGGGTAATGCTTCTCGACATCGGACCAAGAGTCGGTCAAGTACCTGCAGTTTTGAGTTAGGAAATCTTCTGCAACCTGTAAGGATTAAGAAGACTTACACTTCACCGCTTTCAGGACGAATGTTCGCAAATGCATAGAGAATGTGTGTCAATTTCTCCGCGGGCAGATCCTGTGGGTTGTAGTTGCGGCCGTAAATTGCCTATGGGGGTGTGTTAACAATGGTACTTTTTTTCGATATATATGTCCGGCATAGTATAAAGGACGCGGATCATGCAGTCGACATTGAAATGACATAAGCAAATTTAACATACCCAGTTGACAAAGTAGGCGACGGATTTGATCTCAGACATGGTTGCAGATTGGGTGAAGTGTTGCACGAGAACAGCCACAAGTATAGTAAACAAAGTAATGAGCTTGAGATAAGCCACAATTTGTAGTCAAAAGAAAGTTATATCAAGTTTCAAAACACAAGTATTTCAAGGGGGTACTTTATGTCGCAGCCTAATTGTTAGTGCACTGTTGTATCGGCAATCTCAACGCCACGTCATTGGTCGGGACTCACATGTGGCGGTGTAAACGTAAGGCACCAAGGCAAGGATTTATATAGAATAAAGATATCCGGGATCAGTATTGCAATCGAAGATATAATCTGGAGATTTTAGGAGACCTTAGAGACTATATGTATGTTTACTAAATGTCCAAGGTCCAAGAAAAAACGTGGTGCGTGACACCTCCGCCTGTTCAAGGTGCATGTAACCTCATTCTTGGCCAATCCCTAATGTGTTTCAACGTAATAGCGTAGGTTATTGGTGAGTGTACAGGAAGCACAACAGAGTATCAAGTACTCGTGATGTTGAAGAATGCAACCCTAGACAAGAATGGGACATAGCCCGCCTAAAGGGGGCCACGATGTGGAATGATGACTGGCCACATAACCATGAGAATTAGTTTATTCTATTGGTTGTTAAGCTTGGAAGGTCTTGAATATTTCCAAACTTGAAAATCTTATTGGAAGTATTTCAATGTAGAAAGGAGGTTAACATTAGCCCCTAGAGCCACACAATACCTCGAGATATAAAGCATTGGTCAGGCGACTTACGCCCTCAAATATGCCCACATGGAGAATCGAGCATGGATCGGACTCTTTTGGCAGTAGATCGACTGAACCTGTGGCAAGTGACGACCTTCTCAAGCCGAAGGGTGTTTGGAGAATCGGTATTCGCGGGTAGTGATCTTTAGAGGGTAGCGAGTGATATACAAGGATCGCCCGAGACTACACGTGGACTCAGGGTTCAACATCCTTCCCGGTCATGAGATGATCGTCAAACCTATAAATCAAAACTTCAGTATGACTCCTGTTCTCCAAGTGTGCTTAGCCTCAATGCAACCTATCTGGTTGCCCAATATCTATTTCCTATAGCATCATATGAGTAGTTCTATGTTGTATGTATATTACTGTTATCCACCAAAGAATTGAACACACTCGGAGGTCGCCGAAGAAATGGATATCCAATGATCGACAAAGCATCTTTATCCATGCCCCACGTCACAATTTAATGCCGTCAAGATGAAACAAGCCGCAATGGCCGAGAAGATATTTAGAAAGCGAAATGTATGGGTAGGAAGTGATCCGAAAGTCCACTGTTAGTGTAACGGGAAATCAAACGTGGGAATTACCAAGAACAAAAAGAAAAAGAAACCGTCGCCTGAAAATCTAGTCCATAGCTGAACTCGAGCCGCGATATGGTCGTTCATAGGTTTGATTGGATCTACACAGCCGAACTAACGCCCTTAGCTTCCAGCCGTGTCCGAAATCTCTCTATTCCAGATCCACTTGGATCTATGCAACGTTTTTTTTTTTTTGACCTTTCACTGTGGATCTTTCAGCTGGTAACGTAATCGGTAAGCGAGTCGGCCATGTAAGCCAGCCGGCCACCCAGTCTAACATACTAAGTTTAAATGGATATATCATAGCCACAACGCCATTAAATTAATGTAACTAAATTCATTTATCTATTTGGACATGTTTCTCTCCTATGCCCCGGCTGCCTACATATTCCACAGGCTCGCCCGGCCCGTATAGGTGGCTGTAAACCCTCCGATACCTGCTCACGATAGGTATTGATACGTGCAACTTGGGCCTCGAATGGTTCCCCACGTAGCTCACGAACCTCCTGGACTGAAAGATCTCCTTCGTGGACTATCGTCCTCGTAGACCGAGTCCGCTTTTGCTTCTGCTTCTCGTTGGCGGCGCGTAAATCGCTCACTTCTTTCTCAAGTAAAGCGGCGGACTGCATTGTGATTTGACAGGCTTTTAAAACCTTGTTTATCGCGCAATTTAGCGGGCTCGGAGGGCTCTTTGATCTAGCACGAAGTAAAGCTTTAATTGACGAAGCTTGCTTTTGTAATTGCACGTAGTTCGAGGGCGTTTTTGGGTCCCAATCGCTCCCCCTACTCGGAGGGGGGTCGGGGTTCGAAGACGGATATTTAGCTTCGAGATCACTCGATTAGGTGCAAAAGGTATTAAGCCAGCTGCTCCGAAGCTATTCTTAATAGTCTCCGATTTAAAAGCTTCGATTCGTGCGAGGGGGTATGCTTCAAGGAAGTCAAGTTTATCGATATGGTTGATCCCGTTCCGCATTTTCATTTCAACTAGCCGACCATATGATCGCTTTAACACAGCAAAACAACCGATATCCAGGGGTTGTAAAAGATGAGAGGAGTGCGGAGGCATACAAATTGGTATAACCTTATTTTGCTCGCAAATTTCATCGAATTTAGGGGTCAAATGGCTTCCATGTCCGTCGAGTATTAGGAGACGATACCCCCCTTCGTACGCGAAGAAGTGCTAGGAATAAAGAGCTTTTCAAGCCAACGAAGTCCAATTTCATCAGAGGTCCAACCGTTCGGACTAACTTCAAATCGCCAGTCATCCGGAAGGCCATCAAACCATGATTCAATAAAGACTTTGCCTTTAAAAATGATACACGGAGGGAGGGCCCAACCCGACGAATTTGTACACTCAATAGCAGTCACCCATTCGCGATTTCCAGGTTGTAAAAGCGAGCGCCGGCCGTAGAATTCGCTCCTTGTAATCACCTTCGCTGTAGCGATTAGCCCCATCGCGAAGCCGGTCTCATCGAAGTTATAAACGTCATCGGGGTGGATTCCAAATTGGAGGATTGTTTTTTGAACAAGATCGAACCACCCTTGGATGATTTTCGGGTCTTCGCACTTCGCACGTTCGTAATTATAGCGTCTCGAGAATCGGGATGAGAGGAGAGGGTGTCGTTTCACAAAGTTATAAACCCATTTTTCGCCGACCGAAATAACCGGGGTGGTTCCACGTTGTTGAAGTAAAAGGTTCGCCATTTCTCGTACAGTAGAAGGCCGGGGGGCAGATCCACGAGAGTCCATAGAGAGAACCCATCTTTGAAGAGATTCCTCTTCATATTCGGTCAATTTATGCGAATTTGCGCGACAAATCGCGCGATTTTGGTGGCCACGTAGTCGGTCTTGAAGTGTTGAACGTGGTATGTTAAAAACGCGTGCCACTTCGCGAATTGAAGAGATTTCTTTCTTTTTAAAAGCTTCAATAGCTAATAAAACCCTACCCTCTTGCTCTGCTGAATTGCTAGAGGATTGGGAGCGAATTGGTGGCATGGTGCGCGGTTGAATTGACTAAGTGCTAATCTATGGACGCGTTTTGGGCTGGGTGGCCGGCTGGCTTACATGGCCGACTCGCTTACCGATTACGTTATCTCTGCCTCGGCGCCCCAGGTGTCTGGTTAATGTGTCAATTGCCGTGTCTTTTCTGCACATGTAGTCCCTCAGAGCAAATTTTATACAATAGTACACATATTTTTGACTGTGGGGCGTTTAGGGCTATCCTTGCATACCATTTACCCAACAATATATACCCATTGTACAATTTGAACAATTAGAGTCTATATTGAACAGTGTAAAATTGATTTTTAAAAGTCTTCTAACACCAACAAAAAATAACCCCCAAAAAAAAGAAAACAAGAGGGGATATCGTAGCTATAACCAAAACCACGCAATAAATCCAAACTCATTTTTGTCTTTTCACAGAAGGCCGACGGTACTCACGACCAGCGTTATACCCGCCATCCACGCAAGCCCTCTATTAAAAGAATCATACAAAAGCCCCAACAAGGCTTACCAGCACTCGGGAAATCAGTAGAAGGTAAAATCCGAAAAAACCCCCTACCCTGAACCTAAGGCCACATGCAACATGCATTCATTTCCATTTTCGTTTCGTATCCTCGTCACCGATGCGATTACCGGCCTCCAACCCAGCGACGGATGACATCCAAGGATGGATCGTCGTCAACCCAGTGGCCAGCGCGAAGATCAGCAGCTCGCAAGTCGGCCACGACATGCTGGTCCGTAAAACGAGCCAGATCTTGATGGAGGGTGGCTGTTGCACTTTTGAGGGCTGCGGCGTGCTGGGCTGTTGCCTGGGAGCCGCGGAGGATGCTGGCACGTGTCATGGCCCATCGCTTGGCTGCGGCGGCGCGAAGGTAGATCTTGTGCGCTTGGAATCGGCGTGCGCTGCCGTCTAGTATGACCCTGCAAAGAAACGGTTAGCGTGTCTTGACATGATTGAAGGCTGGTTGGATGTTGTGTATACCTCTGTAGCTCAGCTTTCTCGGTCTCGACATTCCCTTGCCCTGTTACCGGGCAGGGTTGGTAGTTGGCGGACATTAGGGTCTGGGCTGAGGCTAGGGACTCGCGGAGTACTACGAAACCATCTTCCCAGTATTCTTCTTGGGATGGTTCGACTTGTTGTTGTGAGATGTGGAGTAGAAGAGTGCGGTAGTCATTGATTATCTCAGCGACTCGCATAGCGCGGGCTTGATTGACTGCATGGTTTAGCAATTTGATGATTGGTCGATATGGTGGTCAGCTTACATCCGTCTGCCATATTTTGGGTATATTAGTATATAAGAAGGTAATTGATCAGGTGGACGAGTAGAAAGTCAAATATAACAAGTATAAAGAATGAACATCAATAACCAATCAGAGACGAAAGAAAGGCAACGGTTAGAGGAGCTGATGGTCCATGTAATCGAGAATGTTAGGCCACCAACAGTTGGGGGGAAAGGATAGATATAAGTTGGAATTATCTCTCCTTACCCCATACATGACAATCCCAAATAGGGTACAAAATAATAATAACATAAAACCAAGGATTTATCAGCCCTTGATGGAGTCGACGTCAGGATACATCACTACCGAAAAGATGGGCTGCACCAATAGACGGTCGAGATGCCACGATCAGGGAGTTCGGATTGTCAAGCACAGCTGGGATGGGACCGGGCCCATAAGCTCCCGAGAAACCGTTTACGGCATGGCTACCATCCCTATCCCAGGGAGATGGACATAGTGGAGAGAGAGAGAGAGTAGGGGCCATCGTATGGGAAAACCTATAACCTATTGCACACTATTCCGTGTGGATTAAAAGGTGGAGATCGTTGTCCCGCATATGAGATTAGGTTCCTATGTCGATTTGGGGGTTTCTCTGATGTGCATTTCATGATGTTGATTGGAGAGTATTGGTTGAACTACTTTTTTTTTCTTTTTTGCGATGCATCCTCGTGGGACCTTTTCAGAAGTGTCTCAGCCTTGGACCTGCATTAGAGATCTATTGTTCGGACCTGAACTCGGACTTGACATGTAGTGGATCTGACAGAAGAACATGTTCAGCTGGTCTTTTGCCACACTTATTATTAGTCACTTACTCTAGCCACATTAGTTCCCTCCTAGCCGCACTAGTTCAATTAATTAGACCCAATCAGATCGCAAAGAAACACTATTGGACTGAAATTTATGGGCTGTCCTAAGCCACCGCTGAGCCACATGTGGCACTACTAGTACAGTCCCTGTCTCCTTGCTTTTCATGCAAGTAGACGCTGTGATAAACCCGTAATAGCGGATAGTCCATATTTCTAGAGTGGCGCTCTAGTGTTGACAGGCTGAGAAATGAGGTCTCGGACCACCCGACATTACACTATACGTAGTATCCCGTCCATATCGGCGATAAGAAATGGGTATCCATAGTATCGGGAATAATAAATTGGATCTGTGCTCTAATAGTTCATGTCGTCAAGGTGTGCATTGGATGAACCCCCCGAACATAGCCGAAAAGTATAAATGCAGAAAATTGAGTTATCATTCATCTGTTTCTCTAACCAGAGTCCTTCCATTACTGGTCGCTTACATCCATAGCTTGCAGGTTGAGACCGCTCAGTCCTTCTCGGCTATGGCCTGCAGCCGTTCATCAATCTCCTCTTCCGTCAGGGCACGGAACTCTGTAGTGGTTCCCTCGCCATCGGCCCGCGGCCCACCAACGACACCAATCTCAATCTCATGCTTCTTGAAGTCAACACTTAGCACATTGCTGAGGGCTGTGATGCCCAGCTCCACAACCTCCTCCCAGCTGCCCGGGGCCGCATCCTTGTTCTTCAGCTTCTTCTCCAAGTAGTTCAACGCCTCCTGCTGCTTGGGTCCGGATGCTGTCGCCTTGTACCCAACGTAGTAACCGGCAGGGTCACACTTGTAGAGCTGCGGGCCGCTCTCATCATCGACGGAGATCAGGGTCGTAGCCACGCCAAGTGGTCGCATGTAAGCCTGGAGTGTTTCAAAAACCATGTCAGCTATTTTGTCTCTCTAAATGGGATCGTTGCACGGCGGGAAACCTTACTCTTTGTGTGTAGACCTGGTTGATATTTGCCAGACGCTTTGCCAGGACATCGCACGGCATCTCATATCCGAACTTGTACCGGAACTCAGCAGCCTCACCACGGGCCCGGTCGACGGATGCGCGAGCATCTGCTATGGAGCCGGTCATCACACAGCCTACGGAAGGCGAGATCCGGAATACATGTGAAACGGAGGATGGGTCGATCAATTTGTCCTGGTAGACGACGGATTAGCGTGAGCGCAATTTCCCAGCTATAAACGAGGAATCCATCTTACAGCGACTTTCTTCTGAGAGAGCACTACGGCACAGTCCTTGCCCCGCACACCGATGGAGGTGATGTTGGCTGAAGTGATGGCCTTGAATGCATATTCTGAGATGTTTGGTTAGCGGTGATGACAGCGCACGGATTGAAACCGCTGGGTAGATCGAGGCGGATTCATCGACGAGGGGGCAATACATACCAACTTGGTACAATCGACCCTGGTCAGAGAAGATAGTGATATGTCTATCGTAGGCGCTTCCTGCGGAGAGAACCAAGGTCAGTAGATGAACGTCATGTGGTTGGGCTGGGCCATCGACTAGGGAGCATACCAGACATGACGGCGGATCTTCAAGTATTTTATAGCGAGGTTAACAAAAGCAATGGAAATAAATGAGAAAGGAGGGTTCAAGAGGATGAGACGATGGGGGTTGCTCAGTGACGCGTGCCAGAGCTGCCTGAGCTCAAGCTTGAGGTCAGCTTCACCGCCTTCCAGGTTCCTCTATAAACAGTTCACTACTGTACATTGGATTTCAAGTTCTTTTACTATTACCGAGTTCGAGCTATTTACAGGATAACGAGGACCTGCAGCTGGATGATCTAAAGACTGACTCGGAATTTTTAGGTATTTTGTTGTTCACCCTAGGATGCGTGAAATATCAACATTGAAGAGAAAACCAATCATATTCTAATCTACCACAACATACTACTTCAATGCAGATCAATTATAGACGACATGATAAAATGACTTTTGACATGAACATAATTACACCGTCCCAAATGCTGTGGTAGAGAAATATACACATCCAAACCCTAGATAGCAATCCAAACCCCATTTCGTCAGAACTACTCGCTGTCGCTTTCGCTGCTCGAGATTTCGATCTGAGCAGTCCTGAGCTTTCGCTTCTGTGTCTTTTTCGGCACAGCAGGCTTAAGCTTCTCCTCGCGGACTGGTACAAACTTCTCCTTCCTCTTGGCAGCTTTGGCCTCCTTCTTTGACATTCCACCGTTGGGGGCGGACGATGAAGGTGTGTTCGCGGCACTTTGTTTGGCCGGGGCCCGGGGAGCAGATGGCTTTTTATCACTGTCGCTGTCACTGTCGCTGCTGCTGCCGCTCGACGAGGTCTCATCATCGCTATCCGGCGCAGGCTTGCTGACAGCCTTCTTGGGAGCCGGGGCATCATCATCACTATCTTCGCTGCTGCTGATATCAACAACCATAGTTCTGTTCTTCCGCTTCTTGTTCACCGGGGGCTCGGCAGCCCTGGGCTTCTTCGGCTTCTTCAAATCCTCAGCACTGAAAAGCTTGCCGGCAACAGCGAAAAAGACCAGCTCTGCTCGCTGCCTCTTCGGCAAACGCTTTTGGACGTCTCCCTCCAACTTTTCTCCGAAGTTGACGTTGTCCAAGTCCTCACTTCCCGTTGGCAAGCACTCGCGGAACGCATTGATAGCTTCCAGGTACTCGAGGCTTGGGCCTTTAGGCTCCTGACCCTCTGCTTCTTCATCCTCCTTGGGCTTATCGAGATCCATATCGGCCTTGATCACCAGCCTCGCAGCATCGCTCATTCGCTGCTTGGCGGCATCACCTTTCAGGCCCTGCATGTACGCCAGCAACGATGTGTTGTACTTGGAGGGGACCTCCTCAAGCGAATAGATGTGCTTGAACAGGTTTGTTTCCCGGTTCTTTTGGAACTTCCATGTCGCGCGTGCACGGTGGTATTGGCTCAGGTACGAGAGGATAGCCGTCTCGTGGATTGGGATATCGGCGGTGCCGTTTTTCCTTTGCTTCTTCTTGTTCCGCTTGTGCTCCTTCATCTCTTCGAACATCAGGTCTCCAGCGTCTTCGACGTCTGCGTCGGCTCCGTCGGTTGCGACAGCGTCGTTGCTGTCAGCCTCGTCCGATTCGCTTTCAGAGTCACCGTCGAATTCCTTTGTTCCAGGTCCGAACGAAACCCGCTTCTTCTTTTGCTTGTGCGATTCGTCCTTGCCATTCTCATCGTTGTCATCTTCGCTATGGCGGCGCTTCTTCTTTTTCTTCAATTCGCCGTCTGTCTCGGGTGTCGCATCCTCGGAAACGGACTTGCGCTTTTTCTTGTCCTTCTTGTCGGACTTGGCATCTTTTTTACTGGGGGTCGACTCCTGTGCGTCTGCACTTCCCTCCTCTTTTGTAGAATCCTTCGACTTCTTGAGCTTAGATTCGAGCTTTTTCGACGGGGACTGGACGTCCGTCTGGTGCGCCATTTCTGTGGGTAGATTGCGACAAGATCTGACAAAATACAAGATAGGATTGAGAGGAGTGCTCTAAAGAAGGCTGAAATCTGGAGTTTAGGGCCTGTAAATGCGACTTCGACTGTGCTGAGATTGGGCGGAGATAACTTTTTTTCTGCCGATCAATTGCGCGGGAGTTAATTCTTCCTGCCTCAGGCACCAATATAGCTTTCTCCAATATCAATATCACATCTTCCTTCCTTTCGTTCTCCATAGCACTACAACACAGAATCGAAATTCACAGAGTGCTATCCCTCACATTCCATCTAAATACACACACAATGAGCGACACACGCCCGTCCATAATGGTCCGCAAATTCCTGCAAGACGATCAATCCGAAGACCCAAATCAGTACCAAACAGCGTTTGACGGTTCTGCTTCCAAGTCCCCCGAAGATGGTTGGCCTCGAGACCCCTTCCGACAAGAATATTGCTTTTTCTACGGGACACTAATGGATCCACAAACGCTCTCTCGCGTCTTAAAATTGTCAGATCCAACCCACGTTCTGCGTTGTGCTAGAGTAATAGGTTACAAAATCAGGCTCTGGGCCCCTACCCTGCCCTTCTTGATGGTGAGCCACCCTATTCAGTTCATGGTATGGGGTATGAAATCCTATCAAAGGCGCAAATTGATCGACTTGTGGCCTATGAGACCGACAAATCTCAGCTACGCCCTTGCCTAATCGAGCTTCTGAATGATGATGACACAGAAAAGACCATCGAGGGTGTCACTTTTATGTGGAATGGTCGACAGGATGAACTACGGGAAGGTTTGTTTGATCTTAAACAATGGAAAAAAGAGAAACAGTTGAGTGAGTTGGATTAACTGGAATGGAGACCAATAACTTTCCTGTAGGCCCACTGATAGGGTTTGCTGCAATTGGACTTTTGCTCTGAGACGTGATATATACCGGTATACTGGTAAACTTGGAGCTCTGGTAAAAAGTAAGCGGTTTCTTGTTTGATACTCCCATATCATGACTGAGTAGTAGACAGAAGGTGACTGCCTGGGTTTGGTAGATATTGTGATGTTTGTATTTTATATAAGAATGGTGTCTTTCTTCGATATCTCTTCCTCCTTAGTTTTGTAGGCAGACAGACGGTGGAAAAGGAAGCATAAACTGTAGACGACTTTTTTATGTATTATTCGGGATTTTTGTTTTGCTATTATGTATTCAGCTCTTGATAGTTTTATATATATGAGAAGGAAGATATCGTGGAACTCGTCAATTGCATTAATGATGCCCAAGAGGAATGTAAAACCTGACATCTATGTCCCAGAACCAAACCCAGGATCATTAGCCCCAGTATCCCTCCTCTCCCTACGGACCTCCTTCTGTACAAAACTCTCAGTCCCGGATCCCGTAGCAGCAACAGATGCAGCAGCCCTCCGTTTCGCCTTCTCCCTCTCTCTTTCCTTTTCCCTTTCCTTCTCCTTATCTCTAGCACTCGGACCAGCCGCCTTCCGCCGTTTAGGCAATTCATAGACATCATTGAAGTTCATCACAACGCCCAGGAAACGCATATCTACATCTGGCTGGTACGACAGATCGCCGAGGAGGACAGTCAGACGGGAGCGGAACTCGGCGGAGATTTCACGGAGTCGGACGCGGAGCGAGGCAAGCATGTTGTCGTCGGCGGCGAGATTGGGACCAGATAATGAAAGCGGGGTGTTGATGCCGTCCACCCCGGCGCTGTCGGGTCGAACGTCCGGGGTCGAGGCCATTGAGGTCCCCGTCCGGGTGTTGGATTGGCGGGAGAGGAGATCACGCTCTGTGAGGCCCCATTGACCCTGGGCGGAGCGAGTCTCGATCTTGGCGTTTATCTCCTGGCGACGGGTAAATTCCGCGACGGAGAAGGAGTACAAACCGTCTACGGCGTCTTTGTAGGCAAGCATGAACTTGAGGATCTGGTGGAGCTGGCTGAGGAAGCTTTCTTCGGGTTGTTTGGCGGAGGTTGAGGTTGAGGCGCCGTAGCGAGATGAGGATGCAGATCCTAGTAGACCTTTGTGGGTGATGGAGTTGAGGTATTTGGTGTGTGCTTCGATAAGGTCGTCTAGCGTGCAGTCCGGTCTCCGGATTGCTTCGAGTAGTTGTTCCCAGCTGGACTCGATGACTTCGAACAAGATGTAGTATTGGAGCTGGTTGACGAAGTGGATCATTTCTGCAATCACGCAGCGTGCTCGCTTCCAGTCTGCTCCAACTTTGTCCTCCACGTTGCCGAGGACTCCTCGTGCACCGGTCATGCATCGTCGCCAGGTGCTGTTCAGCGCGAACTCAACTCGCTTGATGCGCCAGAGGAAGTTGAACACTTTTAAGTATTGAGTTGACGCCCAAGGTGTGATGACTACATCCACGGGAGCATCGATTTTATATTCCAATGTGAAGCAATCCCATCCGATTTCGCCGTGGCTCAGCTCAAGCATACGGGCATCAAGCCGACGCAAAACCTCTGGGGTGTCGTATTGTGCATTGGAGGCACGGATAGCATGTTCCAGCTGTGCAGTTAGAGTATGTCGATATTGTGAATTTGCTGGACGATCCAGATTTGTGGCAAGCGACTCCATAAGCAAAGCAATGAAGTCTCCCTGGCCCAGTAGCAGGTAACTCTTCAGTGCTTTTAGGTGATCGAAGAGGTTAAATTTCCCGTTCATCAGGGAAATCAATCGAGCCATTGTGGTCTTATATGCCTCATCGATGGAGATCTCGAGAGTGGCGGTGTCACCATATCGAAGTTCCTTGGAGGCTTTCTTGGAATAGGCCTCCACCCACGCCGAATCGCCGCAGCCATGGCGGATGAAGTTCAAGGATTTTCCAATCAGGAATATCTTCTTCGCAAACTCCTGAGTAATGATTGAAGGTAGCATGTCATCATCAAGCTTATATTTGTCCTCCCAGACGCTGGTTGCAAGCCGCCGGGGGTCAGTCTTCGGCCGGAACTCTGGATCAGCGACAAAGAATTCCTTGTATGGATCTGACAGTTCACCGTCATAAATCCATAGTCGTAGCATGTCGTAAAATGGACGCGTCACATGTGTAAGAAGTTTCTCGGCGAATGCGCACACGAAGGGATCTCCGTGGGATGTTGAAAAGCCGTGTATCAAGGAAATCAACTGGCCACCCCTCTTGCCTGTGATATGCGTCAGCCATAAAGAAAATCTAGTCATCTGTTTGTGCACTTACTCTGAGCCTCTTCCACGATCAAGCTCATCAATCGAAGGGCCATCGTAGCATCTCTCGTCCACACCACGCATCGCTTCAAGGTAACGCCACCCTTTCGTACACCTTGAGCCTCTGTTCCGTCTCCAATCGCGGCCAGCGCCTGTCGTATTTCCGCCTCCAGTGTAGCCACCAAGCTAAGATATGCGCGTAGCTCAATGGCGATAGCAGCTCGCAAGCTCTGGTTCACCAGGCCGCCTTCTTCGCTTTCCACAAACACAGACAGTCCTTTATAGAGGAGGCAAGGCTCTGCCAATGTGTTAAGAAGTGAGGTTATCGGCGCAGACAGATTAGAGGGCAATTTCAAGCTCGACGAGGAATTGAAATGCACATTCGACGAAGACAACCCTTGCAAGTTGAACGGCAGATCACGCAGGAGCCTCTGCTCAACAGACCCAGAAAATTTCGCCGGATCCGATGCATTAGCACTCGAGGGCCGAGGCGAGGCAGCACGAACATGCTCATCGCTAGAACGATCATTCACCCCAGAATCAACACGGGTGGCTGGTATTTCAGTCGAGTTGCGCCCAGCCTGGTCTACACCATCACGATCGAAATCATGTCGCAACGAGCTCTGCCGCTCCATCTTCACCGGCAGTACGCGTTGGTGTTGCTGCGAAGCCGACGAGCTAACAGCAGGGCCCTCATCCTCCGAGTCGATCATCGTGCCTCGTCTTGGGCGTCCGCCCTTCCCCAACATATTATGCAAATGCGCCTCATCCATCAACGGGCTCCGGCTCCGTTCCCCGCCCTCCAATGGCTCATCCGACGCGGACAACTTATAAAGCAAAAAGAGGATACCCCATTTCTGCGACAGCACAGGCTGCGTTAGGAGACGAGAGTAGAGATTGGAAAACCGCACCGCCTTGTCCGGGCTGATATTTTCGCGCCGCAGCTTGCGCTTAATCAAATCTGGCGCGTTGTTGATGCTCTCTGTTCCCGCGAGACTTCCGCGCCGTCCACCAAGCCCCGCTGGTGACGCTGGGTCTGGGGCACTGGTGCTGGCATGGGTGTCGAGGATGCGCCAGGCGCGTTCCAGGAGGACATGGTGACGGCGGCTTTCGGCTGCGGCTAGGGCTTCCTCTGTGTCGGAGTAGTCTTCGTCTTGGATGGCGGAGATCGGGAGCGCGGGGGTCAGGCCATCGACTAGTTGGGAGAGGGCGTCGTCTAAGCGGCGCCCGCGCGCAGGGTTTCGGGCTGGGTTTGACATTGTCTGCCCGGTGCCCTAGTGGGCGGATTGATCGGTATCTTGTATCTGTTCGCTCGTGGTTGGGGTCTGTGGGTGTTTGTTCGGGGAGGAATTGTTGGGCAAGAAGATATCGCGGTCAGGCAGTGGGTATGAGGGGGGAGATCGCGAACCAAGCCTGAGACTGGATTGTAAACTTTCAACACACGTCTGAAATGAACCTTCCAAATTGCATCTCAATGGAGGTAATGCGGACTCGAGCTTGAAGCTTGAATGTTTGTGTTTGTGATGTTTGACGTGCATTGATGCCGAGTTCCTAAGGCAGCAGAACCTTATCGCCCTATCGTTATCTGAATTTCTGCCCGAGTGCCGTGCCAGATATGGATTATGGATATATCCCCCTCGTATAAAATTCCATAGGGGAAGTTGCTACATAATCACGAGACTCACAACTCTCCGTTGTTTCATTCATCTTCCCTGGACTACCGTATGGGCTTCCCTCGATGAGTTCTCCACAATCAAGTACCTGCACAGAAGCCCAGCTACGCAACCAAGAAGCCCGGAACCTGTCCTTCACCGGGCCAATCATGGAAGATGTGCAAGGGACTCGGACCGTTCGGTCAGAATTCCAGCGATTGGTAGACTTAGATCAAGCCAATACGCAGTCAAGGCGTAATGAAAGTGCCGCCAGGGTGTATGCAACCTAGGGCCAGGATTTGGGGGCCATATGGAGCCGACCCGCTATAGTGACGTCCGTGAGTCGTCCATATAGGAAGGATCTGTAGATTTGAGCCGCCCCAAAGGCCCTAATCAGCGGCCCTAACAAAGCATTAATCAATTTTATTATGTTCTTCTCCTTTTCTCTTTGATGTCCCTGCTTTAATAAACCCCATGTGCGATCCCCCAATATGGGCCCAGGCACATCTACCACAGCGACCGCGCGGCCATTTTTCAGAGTACTAGGCAATGCAAAGCTCAAATTACTTGCTGTGTTCTTAACCGTCTCGACCATCCTCCTACTCACACTATATTCGGGAGGATTAACAGGAAACATCTCACCTGGCGCAAAAAACGAGCTTGCGAACGTGCAAGACTACTGGACATGGGAAACGAGAACCCAATTTCGGAAACCCCAGCATGGAAATGAAACCGAATCCACAGGAAAATCGCGAAATGCCACCTGTGACACCTTCCCATCACACCTGCTATCGCGCGTTCAAATCACCTTGAAAACCGGCGCAACTGAAAACCCAAACCGAGTCAACACACACCTGGCCTCTGTAACTCGCTGCATTTCCAACTTGCTAGTAGTATCAGACAAGGAGAGCGAGCTCCACGGCCATCATGTGCACGATATCCTAGCCGATTTGCCACTCTCAGCCCGGAATCGGATCCCGGAGTTCAAAGGGTATGATGCGCTAC